TTTTTTAGTAGCTAAGAATTGGAAATTGAGGGGATGCCCATCAATCGCAGAATGACTGAACAAGCTGTGCTATATGATTGTAACAGCATATTACTGTGCTATAAGCAGGATGATTTCAGAAAAACCTGGAAAGACTTACATGAACTGATAGAAAGTGAAGTGAGCAAAACCAGTAGAACAATGTACATAGTAACAACAATATTTAACAATGAAGAATGGTGAACAACTTAGCTATTCTCAGCAATACAATGATCCAAGACAATCCCAAAGGACTCATGATGAAAAATGCTAACAGCCTCCAAAGAAAGAACTGATACAGTATGACTACAAACTTAAGCATACTTTTTTTCACTTTCTTTCTTTATGTTTGAGTTTTCTTGCCCAAAATGACTCATATGGAAATGTTTCACATGATTGCAGTATATAACCTGTATCAGATTGCTCACCATCGCAGGGAGGAAGGAGAAGAAGGAGAAATAGATTTTGGAACTCAAAGCTGAAAAAAAAAATGTTAAAAACTGTTTTTACACATAACTGGGGGAAGATAAAATAAAAGAGAAAAAGACACTCCCTGGAAAAATCATTACTCCATCAAGGACTTGGTTGCTGGTTGTTGTCCTTTTTTTGGAGAGGACCAAAATGACATCACTATGTAGGAGTCAAGGTACAGTGTGTCCAACTGTGGGTGATCAGACCAATACAAGCTCAGAAGGCTCTACCACAGGTGGGGCACAAATAGTCCACACGAACATTTGGAATGGAGATATCTCTAAATTTGCATGTTTCTTTTGAGTTACTGCAGTTCTGCTTTGCTTATAGAGCACAGCACCTTCTTTGATGCAGACCCACCAAGGACTTACTGCTAAGACAATAACTCAATGAATGAATTTCATTAAAAGAATTCATGTCAAATGATATCCCCCCCTCCACCCCGAGTATCTTTACAGCTTCAGAAACAGCCATATTCTCCTATGAAGTTGTCTGGTTACTTCATCAGATTTGTGATTTCATCAGTTTATTTCCTTCACCAATGTAAACAATGTAAACAACAACAACTTCATATCTTCTCAGCCATTGTGATTCTTGCCCATTTTTCCCCCATAAATCTTCTACAGAGGACTGATTCAATGTGCCACAGACAGACTGAATCAGAGAATTTTAATTTATTTAATCTAACTCTTATTTTCCAGATGAAGAAATTAAGGCCTAAAAGGTGAAATGACTTTTCAGTGGTCACAAAATACTTCTTATTCTTTTAGCATCTTAAAGGTACCAATTTACCATTTTGGTTGTTCATTTACTGTTTCTTGTTCTTATCACATGCCTAGCCCACTATATTTTCAAGTCATATGTATTTTTGATGGAACACGTCACTGCTAATAATGTGCCACTAATAATATGGTTATATCCACATTGCCTCTTTCCAATACTGCCCAAGTTATTTATAATTTTAATAATTCTGAGGTTATGCTGTTCCATGACTCACAACATATATAGCATCACAAGAGGAATACTGTTAAAGAGATCAGCCAGTGTGGTGGCACATGCCTGTGATCCCAGTTAACTGGGAGGCTGAGGCTTTGGGGGATGTCTCGAGCTCAGAAGTTCATGTTGCTGATCAGATATCTGTACTGTTTCACACCATTATGGGGGTCAGAGGTAGCATACCAGATTGCCTAAGTAGAACAAGTCAAAGATTCTGTGCCAATGAGTAGTAGGAATGAGCCTATAACTAGTGTCCATATTGTCAGCTTGGATAAGACAGGGAGACCCAGTCTTAAAAACAATAAAAATATCTGCAAATATATTTTTTAACATCTACTTTTTTCACATACTATGCTAGATGCTCGAGGTTCAAATAAAAAAGTGATAAAGTCCTTGCCCTCAAGAAGCTTATATTTACTATAAGGATACACCACTTACTGGGGAATGGTGGCCAGGAAAGTGATGTAGGCCATTTCAAGGACTGTAAGTAGAAATACAAAACATACAGCAGAAGACTGTATTATCCTTTCTGGTACCAATGTCAATATAAATTTACCTGAGCAAAAGATGGAGAGAGGTGGGGACAAAAAGGTAGATGGCAAAATGCATATGCTGAATAAGCTCCAGTGAACTGGTGGACAGTTGAATGAACAGAATGAGATAAGCTTTTGTAGCTAATAGATAGGGTCACTGTACAAACAAAAATTGCAGACCTAGAGCTAAATGGGACCTTAGTAGGGTCATCTAGTCCAACTCCTTCATTTTATAAATGAGGAAAGTGAAGCACAAGGGAGGTTAAGTCACATAATCAATATTAAAATCAGACCCTGTGACTTCAAGTTCAGAGTTTTTTCCACTGCACCATGCTGCCTCCCATTCTAAATGCTACACAGTTTCCCAAAGGCAATAGTAAAATTTCATTCTATTAAATTCTGGGGCCAACCCATTATCCACCTGTAGCACTCAATAAAGATACACATTGATAGACTACATCAAAACTACCCTTCCATCTGCTTATTAGTCTGGGCAACATGTTTTTCATTCATTTTGTTTTTTGCATTGTTCATGATTAGACTGATTTCTTGCATTACACTATGGACTTCTTTGAGGAAGTTCTGAAATGTTCCAGAGTAATAAGAAGATTATCTATGAATAGGAATATTTGGAGAACCTAATCATCACCAAAAAAAAATTCTTTTACTTGGACCTTATTCAGAATAGCTTCCTGTCTAACTAGATTTTATTATACATAATCTTTATAATGCACACCATACATAGGGTTGACTAAAAAAATCAGTTGGCTAATACATTTCTTCAGTGCAGACGGTGGTACATAGCACCCACTTTCAGACAAATGGGCTAACCCATAAAACAAGAGTTCATAGCTTATCGGATAGTTCAAACAATGTCTGTTTTGGTCACATTGACATTTTGCTCTAATGCCAAATATTGGACACCATTTCTCCTGGTTTCCCTGAAATCATTATGGAAACTACACCTTTTAAGTATCTAATTAAAAGTCTCTCGACTTTTCTGGACAGTTGCCATTTTGCCTCCAACGCTGGAATTACATATCCTAATAATGCCTCTTGAGTTAACAACTTTTGACATAATTCTGTAAGTGTGAATAATTGAGGGCTAAATGTCAAGTAAACACATTCATGCAAAGTTGCCCATCACTGGAAATTTCTATCAAGCAAATGCTATTTTCACACTAACTCCCCATTTTTAAGTCAGAGATGAATTCTAATGGAAAAATCCTCTTAAAAACAAACTGAAAGCTGTTCATGAAAAGAAATTAAGAAAGCCAACAACAGGACATGCTATATATGATAGTATTGTATACTAGAAACTGCAAATTCTCACCTAACAGTTTACATCTCCTTTGCAATACTTTTAGCCCTAATTTCTCTCCTAATACCTAGATAATCCATAAAACATTTCTCTCCTGCTTGCTCAGTATATAGTCATAGAGATATGCCAAACAAATTTCTAAAAAATTAGATAACTTTAACTCTACTAGAGGAGACTGGTACCTAAAGAAATGCTATTGTGAAGTGTTTCATAAACAAAAACTCCTTTAATTGAATAATGATGGCTTATTTTGTATTTTGTGAATAGATTTTCATGAGTTGGGGGCAGTTAGGTAGTATAGTGGATAAGAGTGCTGGGCCTGGAATCAAGAAGACCTGAATTCAAATCTAGCCTCAGACATTTATTAGTTATATGACCTTGGGCAAAACCTCTCTACCTCAGAGGAGGAGCATTGCTATCTGGTATCTGTTTGGGTGAAGTTCCCTACACCAATGGAACCACAGCTCCAGTCTGGGGAAAAACAACAACAACAAAGTGACACAGGAAGCAAATGAACAGAAATTATTTAGATTCCACTCAAAATTTTTAATAGAGAAGAAATAACTTTTGTATTCTTTGCTGTAGCTATATTTCTTCAGAGGTCTCAAGATTCCTAGTTTTTTCCCCACTAGAGTGAAGTTCACACTTACCCTTCATTTCAAACATAAATTTTTATTACTTTTACAGTACAAATCTAACCCTAAACTTCCTGTGACCCTGCGCAAGTCCTTTAACTTCGGCCTGCCTCAGTTTCCTCATCTGTCAAATGAGGATAATAATAGCACCTGTCTGCCAAGGTTGTTGTAAGGATCAAATGAGATAATAACTGCAAAGCTTTTAGCACAGGTTCTGGCACACAGTAGGTGTTATGTAAATGTTATTGTTATTATTATCTGCAGAACAGGAATCATAACAGCACCTGCCTTCCCGATTCCTGTAAAACGCTTTTACCAACCTGAAAATGTTCCATAAATACACTATAATCAATCCTGACCACACAACAGTGACAGAAAACAAAGTAAGAGAAGTGGGTAGGTACAAGGAAGTCCTTTTGTTCCTTTGCAAACCTAAAAGTCTTTCAAGGTTACTGAGTAGCCAGGCTTCAATGGGGCTGGGGTTGGCCTCGGGTGTCCGGGTCAGCGCCGTCTAGGCCCCCTCACCCCGAGTTTCGTTTTGCAAGCGCCAAAGGGCGAGGGGGCAAAGGGCTCTAACCCCAAGCCAGGAAGGCCCCGTCAGGGCATCTGGAGGGCCCGACAATGGGCGGAGGGTTAGCGGGACTCCTTGCCAGGTTCCCCGGCCGCTGCCGCCGGCGGCCCCGTAGCCCCCCAACCCCGAGGTCCTGCTCCAAGCCCCCTCCCCGCCCTGGCAGCAGGGGAGGGGCCGGAAGAGCCCCGCAGCAGGTTATTTCTCCACCGCGTCTACACCAGCGTCATCCATGATTCACGGCACAACCCAAGACCCCGGAGGGCGGGGCCGTCGTTCCTTCGGATTCCACCCCGGGGACCTGCGGCGCCCGGAGGAAGGGCGGCAGAGGCCGGAATGCCCCCTGCCGGCTCCCCCCTCCGCGTCCCCGCTCCCCCGGCCCCAGCAGCCAACTCCGAGCGAGGCTGCGACGCGACAACAACGACGACGAGGCCGGCTGGGTTTCTCGGCAGTTTTACCTGACGCTCTTCGAGGGGCCTCGTGTCGGGGCCGGACCTCCAAGCGCCGCCGTCGACTTCGGGCGGTAGCCCGAGACCACCCTCTTCAAGGCCCCCTGACCAGTTCGTGCTGCCATGATCTTGCCACTGGACTGGTCCACAACTGTCCCCCCCGGGCTGGGGCCTCCCAACGCGCCGCCCTTCTCCCGGCCGGTCAGGGGAGCACGGCTCTGAACCTCCAGCCAATCGGCGGGGCCCAGAAGGCGCCAGGACACGCCCCCTTTCGTCTCCCTGCCGGTGACGCGCAGAGCTGACGCAGACTCACACTCCCCTCCGGGAGGGGGAGGGAAGAGCCGGCGAGGGCAACCTGGTGTCCTCACTCGGACCAATCAACGAGCTCCTGCCGCCGCCGAGTCCCGCCCCCTCCTCCCGCCCCTCTGGAGATGCACAAATGGACTATGGTTTTCAGCGCACACCCTTTCCTATTCCCCACCCCCACCTCCCGAGAGTTTCGCGTAGCTTTTCTGATACTGGGCGGCCGGCTCCGATCCTCCCCCACCCCGAGCCTGGGGCTGGGCCCGTGGATTTGAACTCGACCTCAGAAGAAGAGTGCACGCGGGGTGCGGAGGTGAATTATGTAACTGTCCCAGCCTGGCGGCTCCTGAACAGGGGATAGAAGCGATATCTGTCAGTCTGCAGGCATTTTTAAGTGCCTGCCATGTGCCAGTCATTATGCTAAGTGCTGTGCATGCCAAGAAACGCAAAAAACAACGTCCTTTGCTGTCAAGGAATTTATATTTTAATGGAGGGAAAAAACATGCAAATAATCGTGCTCTTACAAGATACAAACAGTGTAAATAAAACGTAATTTCAAAGGGAAGATTATGAAGTTTTTGAAGAAAGAATAATAATTAAAAACTACTCTTAAGGCATCTGCACTATATCATTCGATCCTCAGAACAACCCGGTGATGGAGAGGAGGAACTTCGAGGCGTACTATCTTTATCTTCAGAGAAGTTAAGTGGCTTCCCACGGTCATGAAGCATGGATGGAATTCAAACCTCATGTCTTTGACTCCCAAATCCTGAAGCTCTGTACTACCCAGTCACGGCTGGGCTTCAGTGGGGATGGTCACAAGTATTATTATCTCATCTGCCTACCTCAGGGTTGCTGTAACAGCAAAGGTGAGGTAACAGATGGGAAAACACCTTGACAAATTAAAAACACTAAACAGATGGACACTAGTTTATTCAGTTCTAGACAGTAAGCTCCCTGGGGACAGGAGCTCTATGTCTTTCTCATTTTTACATGCTCCTCTGCATTTCCTGAAAATAGGCCTTGAAGGATTGTAAGTACAGTAATATTCTATTCGTGTTTCTTAAATAGAAAAAGGAATCCACACTATAACATAACTGACAACTGCTTTTCCTGTACCTTATAGTGGGCACTACTTTTTGCTGAGCTATCCTGAAACTCTCAAATTCTGCAGTGCCATTAACTGTAGCATTCCTAATAAAGCAGAACATGCAAATCACACAGCTAGGTGGCCCAGTGGATAGAGTACTGGACTTGGAGTCATAAATACCTGAGTTCAAATCTCTCTTCAGACATGTTCTAACTGTATGATGCTGGGTTAAGTCACTTAACCTCTGTCTGTTCACTCATTTGTAAAAGGGAATAATAATAATAGCACCTACCTCCCAAGGGTTTTGTGAGAACAAAATGAGATAATATACAGTTGTCAGAATGGTTAAAGGGCAAAACTGGTCTAGGGCTGAAGAAGAGGAAAGCTAGTCCAGCCTCAAGATGTAAAGAAGGAAAAAAAAAGATATAAAGAAGGAAGCTCTTTCATGTAGTGTGTATTATCCTTGCTGATTTCATGTTATGAGTACATTATTTTACACAAAGGGTGATACCATAAGCAAATTAGGAGAGCATGGAAGAGTTTACCTGTTAGATCAATAGATAAGGAAAGAATTTAGGACCAAACAAGATATAGAAAGCATTATGAAATATAAAATGGATCATTTTGATTTTATAAAATTAAAAAGTTTTTGCACAAATAAAACCAATGCAACCAGAATTAGAAGGAGAGCAGAAAACTGGGGGGGGGGATTTTATAGCAAATATTTCTGACAAAGGCCTCATTTCTCAAATTTATAAGTCATTCTCCAACTGATAAATGGTCCAAGGATATGAATAGGCAGTTTTCAGACAAAGAAATCAAAGTTATTAAAATGCTCTAAATCGCTATTAATTAGAAAAATGCAAATTAAAACAGCTCTGAGGTACCACCTGATACCTATCAGATTGGCTACTATAACAAAAAAGGAAAACAATAAATGTTGGAGGGGATGTGGGAAAATTGGGACACTAAAGCGCAGTTGGTGAATTGTAAACTGATCCACCCATTCTGGAAAGCAATTTGGAACTATGCCCAATAAGGTTTAAAACGATGCATACTCTTTGATCCAGCAATACCACTACTAGGTCTGTATCCCAAAGGGATTTTTTCAAAAAAGGGGAAAGAACCTATTTCTACAAAAATATTTATAACAGCTCTTTTTTTTTTTTGGTAGTTAAGAATTGGGAATTGAGGGAATGCCCATCAATTGGGGAATGGCTGAACAAGTTGTAGTATATGATTGTAATGAAATATTATTGTGGTATAAGAAATGACAAGCAGGATGCTTTCAGAAAAACCTGGAAAAGACTTACATGAACTGATGCTGAGTGAAGTGAGCAGAACCATGAGAATGCTATACATAGTAACTGCAAACTGTGCGATGACCAACTTTGATAAACTTAGCTCTTTTCAGCAATACAGTGATCTAAGACAATTCCAAAAGACTCATGATGGAAAATACTGTCCACATCCAGAGAAAGAACTATGGAATCTGAATGCAGATTGAAGTAAACTATTTTTTCTTTTTTTTTCTATCTCATGGTTTTTCCATTTTGTTCTCATTCTTCCTCAGCAACATGCCTAATGTGGAAGTGTCTGATAGGATTGTACATGTATAGCCTATATCAGACTGCATGCCATCTTGGGGAAGGGGGAGGAGAAGGAGGGAGAAAAAAATTTAGAACCCAAAATCTTATAAAAGTTAATGTTGAAAACTATAAGTGTAATTAAAAAATAAAATACTATTAAGTGGGGGAGGGGGAAAGAAATGACAAGCAGGATGATTTCAGAAAAACCTGGAAAGACATGAAATGATACAAAGTAAAGTGAACAGAACCAGGAGAACATCGTACACGGTAACAGCAATATTGTGTGATGATCAACTGTGATAAACTTAGCTCTTCTCAGCAATCAAATGATCCAAGACAGTCCCAAAGGTCTTATGATGAAAAATGCTATCCACCTCCAGAGGAAGAATGGATGTCTGAATGTAGACTGACACATTCTATTTTACCCTTTCTTTGTTTCTTTGTCTTCCTTCCTTCCTTCATTTATTCCTTTCCTTGTTTCTTTCTTTCTTGTTCAAGTTTTCTTGCACAAAATGACTAATATGGTAATATTTTACGTAATTGCACATGTATAACCTATATCAGATTGCTTACCATCTCAGGGAGGGGGAAGGAGAGGGATGGCAGGAAGGATAGAATTTGGAACAGAAAACTTAAAAAAAAAAAGAATGTTACAAATTGTTTTTACCAGTAATTGGGGGAAAATAAAATATTATTTTAAAAAATAATACGCTTATTTTGAACGTATCTTTTAAGGATATAGGTGTAGATGAGACAGGAAGAAAAATGTGTTCTTTAGAGGGGCAGCTAGGTGGCCCAGTGGATAGAGCACCAGCCCTGAAGTTAGGAGGATCTGAGTTCACATCCACCCTCACACAGATAACACTCACTAGCTGTGTGACCCTGGACAAGTCACTTAACCCCAACTGCCCTCATCAAAAAAAAAAATGCAATCTTTTGTCTTTGAGATTGACACAAGCTATACCAGACACCTGCAAAGAGAACAGTGGAGAGAAGCTGGCCAAGGTGGCCAGAAAACTCAATATGAACTTAAGAACAATCCAAAACAAAATATCATAGCTATAGTCGAGTATCTGAAAGGCTATCATGTGTAAGAGGGATTAGACTTCTTCTGGTTGGCCTAAGGAGGTAGAACTAGAAGTCATCAGTGGAAATTACAAGAAGGTAAATTTAACTAGGGATATCTAGGTGGCGTGGTGGGTAGAGTGCTGGGCTTGGTAGTCAGAAAAATATCTTTCTGAGATAAAATCTGGTCTCAGACATTCACTGGCTGTGACCCTGGGCAAGCCACTTACACCTATTTGCCTCCAGTTTCCTCATCTGTATGATGAGCTGGAGAAGGGAATGGCAACCGCTCTGGTATCTCTGCCAAGAAAACCCCAAATGGACTCATGAAGTATTGGACATGACTAGAATGACTCAACAACAGAAATTTAACTAAGCTTCATAAGCCCCCCCAAAATTTCCCAACAATTAGAGCTATACAGAAGGGGAATGGGCTACCTTGAGATGTGATGGGTTCCCTCTCACCTAGAGGTCTTCAAGCAAAAACTGAATGATTACTTGTCAAGTCTAGTTTAGTAGGAATTTCTTTTGGATATGGGTTGGACTAGGTGATCTACTATGTCCCTTCCAGCTCTAAATTCTTTGATTCTGTAATATTCAGGTGCCATAGGATGGTTGCCAAAATGATGCTTAGGTGGTTCTTGCACAAGGCTATGCAAATAAATAGGACATCCAGGGTTCATGTTTGAATGGTCCTAGGTGAGGGAGGAGCAGCAACTGAAAGGAAAATGAGAACTGGCTTAATGTACATAATAAGGTTCTATCATTGGGAAGGTGGTTAGACCGGAGCTATCCATGCCCTGCTCTAACAAGAGGTATATATGCTCTATTAAATACTCAGATAAATGCAGATTCTTCTGTATCAATCTATTACTCCAAAGGCTATAAACAGGAAGGTGAGTCTAAGAGCCACAATAAATATAATAATACAAGGTAAAAAGTGAAGGAGACAAAGTGCTTCAAGAATATGTAACAGATCAACCCTGCTCCCCACCACCTAAAGTTCAGGGATATTATATTTCTACTCTACCCCTAGGGTTCTCTGGTTCCTTTATGAACGTTTAGGGTACCTAGGGCCTTTGTTAATGGCTCTAGCCTCCACTGATAGTGTTTTGTTGTTGTTGTTGTTGTTTAGGCAATCGGGGTTAAGTGACTTGCCCAGGGTCACATAGCTAGT